CTTGAAGAAGAATCTTCTAACAAGGCTCTCAAATCCTCTTCCATTAACGTCATGGCCCGTTGTAGGACCATGCTCGTTCTGTTCAACGACCTAGTGGTCGTTGAACCTAATGGAAATTCACTCAAGGAATTAGTCAATTTGGATAAACGTGTCACTGCTTCAACGAAAAAATTGTCCTCCTCCGTCATCTTGCATAACCTAGTGGACGAATTTTCACTAGTACTATGCTTGCTGATTTTCGATTCGATGATTTTTGAGAATGTCTCAATGATTTCAGGGACTTTAGGGGGATTTGATTTATCATGACATGTTGAAAGCTCATCGATGAATCGATCAATATCATCCGATAACTTCTTGACATCCTCGTTATGATGATTCAAGGAGTGATCCAATTCTTCCTGGCTGCCTTTTCGCGAATGTGGATCAGTTGACGTGGTTGGATGAGGTGGTTTCGGGCTGCCTGTGAAGCTACCATTTTTATCTAGGTGATTCTTCACCATTTTTTCGATATAACGAAAATTTCTAGATTAAGTCAAATAGATTGAAAATAATGATAATGTTTAAGTGATGAAAAAAATGAGAAGAATGAACAAAAATTGATTGAGAATGATGAAATGATGATGTTTAATTTTTTGTGATAGAACGAGTTTATGGGAACAATTGGTTGGTACAAGTTGACAATTGACCCGGTTGACAAGTTTTAGTTTGATAATTGTGCTTCACACGACTTTATTTTTTGTGTTAGCAATGATTGGATTGGATTTTGTTAGTAATGGTTGCCCACTACTTACTAGTCCACGTGGTAGTCGGATGGTAAGCATATCTTTCATTCTTAACTAGAGGTTTCATATTCGAATAATGATAAATGAAATTAGGATAGGTAGGGAGGGGGTTGTAATAACCAAACACCATGTTTTGAGTATTTATAAACTTTGGTATATAACTTGTTGGATGGTTTGAGATGAGACTCGAGGGGTTCGGACGTGTGTTGGATTAGTTTTAAGTTGATGCGATCAGTGGCGAAATTAGGATTTTCGATAAGGGGGTTCGAAATCTAAAAACTAGAAAAATAGACACACAAAGTAGTCGAAGGAGGTTCGGCATATACTGCATATATCTTTAAAATAATTTTAACCATGTATAAATTATATAATTTCCGTCGAAAGGGGTTCGGAAGAACCCCCTCATTGTAAGGTGGCTCTGCCACTGGATGCGACTGAGATGAGAGACTTGACTAGCGTCGTGATAGCGAGGTCCTGAGCCGTGATCCCTAGAGATCTTGACAAGTGAAGGTCTGTGATTAGGTGTGGCGAAATCAAATTCAACCGATAGAATCCTTCAGAATCATTTAAATTTGTACGAATTATTGACCCAATCATATATTAGCTAGACTCATTTCACCCCATTAAGAATTGGGTTGATATGTTGTCTGAATTGACTCGTGAGAAATTTTGTCAAAATATTTATTTAATTTAGTATGTAATACATAGGCATGATAAAGAAAAATAATAATTTTTTAGCTATTCAAAATTTATATAAATAAAATAAAACACACCAACTAAAACTTACAAGTAGTTGACATTTTAGCCCATGTAAACTCGATGCATTTTAGCCCAATTAGCTTTTGGGCTGGTCAATAAACCACTCATTTTAACTCAATGCATTTCAACCCAATTAGCTTTTGAGTTGGTCAATAACTCGCTTATTTATAACTTAGCTAATTTTACTTGTTCATATTCAGCTCAACTCACTCATTTGACATATTTATCCGTGATCGTCAAGGTTGTACCTTGAAAGTCCTAAAGACTTTGACCAACTCGTGTTCGTGAACATGAAGAGATGATTTGCCAGGAAGCCTAGGTCGTTGATGATCGCAATCATCTTGAAATTTTTTGAATATTTAAAAATCATTGTTCGCAAGAAACTAAATTTTGTTCTTGAGTTTTTGGGCTTCTACGTAGGGGTAGTCATTGATCAATCAGTTTGATTTTTGTATTATTGGGGTTTAACTTTTTTGATTCGTGAACATGCTAAATCAATAACCAAATAAATAAGATTTATTATCGATTCTCTGATTCTTAAAGATTCGACTTCGATTTAACCGATTAAAAAAGTTCATATAATCATATATACACATGTTCATAAAATAAAATTGTAGCAAAACTCATGCAATAAATTGTAGAAACAATGTTAACTGTCTATCTTTATCACAATCAAAATTTCATAAAATTTAAAAGAGAGAAGGTAATACTAGTTTGTGTCGAGAAGATAGATAGTGTCATTAATATGTATAATTAGGAGTAAAATTGTAACTTTAATATAATCTTATTAGGTTATCGATTTAACCATCAACCAAAATCATAAAATCAAAAATCGACCAACTAAATAAAATTACAAAAATGTTAACCAAACAATATTTTTTAATCATTAATTGAAATCATAAAATCAAAAATCAAACCGATTTCCACTGAATAAAATTACAAATACTGTTAACCCAATGATATACTTTTTTTGTGCAATTTATGGGTTAAATTGATTTCTGCACACCCTACTTCTATTTCACATGGTTTGTACCTTTTTTTAACGAATCAATGAGGTTAAAAACTTTATTTTGGATTATTTACACGATTTAATTCGAGCTTTTACCTTCAAAGTTTTTTTAGTTTTTTTTTTTTAAAAAAAAACAATAGACATGGAAATTCAGGACTTCAATCCAAATACCCCTTATTTGCAATACTAAAGTGATAGAACGTAAATTATAATCACGAATAAATATGAAGAAACATGATTTTAATTTATTGATAAATAATACGGGTACAATTTTGTTTGTCCCTTAATTCTTCTCTCTATATTTTCTAGGATGATCTAAATTTAATCTCTATGGAAGGACTTGAGAATCTTTTGAAGTATTTGATTATTAAGAAAATTGTGACATATATTTTGATATATTTATGAATATTTAAAGTTTTACGAAATATTCTAGATGCTTTTAAAGGGAATATAATACTTTTATATATGCATAACCTAGGATTAAAATTAACCTATTTATATAATATAAAAACCAGAGTGACCTGCTTAAACAAACAGGTTCTATGGTGTAGTGGTTAGCACTCTGGACTTTGAATCCAGCGACCTGGGTTCGACTTCCGGTAGGACCTTTTTTTTTCTCTTCTCATTATATGTATCGGGACGTACCCGATGTATCGGGACCTTAAACAAGGTATTCGAAATCAGGATGTGATGAGTCGAAATGTTTTTGGAATGTATTCGCCTATTCGAGTTCGACCAAATTTATTCTGATAATTTTAAAAAGGATAAAGATATAATGTAATTAGCTCTTAACACTATGAAATTTGTGTATATTTTTTTTTTTTGGAACCCTAGGATAACCTGCAGCCGTTACGACCTCTGCCCTTCAGGTGAGCACTTTGTTCGAATTGGGGTAAATCCTCCACTGTGTAATAGCCTGCCACAGTGGCGCATCCATGATTTTCATTAAGGGGGTTGGAAAAAAGAGAGAGTAGTGCTTAAGATTTGAGGTTTAAACTCCTCAATCACTAAATCAATCTCTAATCTTAAAAATTCTTAAGACTGCCTAAAATATACAACGAATTATTTTGCCGAGGAGGTTCGGGTGAACCCCCTCGGCAGACTCTAGGTCCGCCCTTGACCTGCAAACCACACCGCACTAGGCAAGTCCTATGCGACAAACTCGACTCAAAAGACATTAAGGAGAGATCAATTCCGGATCACTCGTGTGAATAGCCACCTTCCAAATCAACTGAGCTATCACGAAGAATTACATATCATAATACTAAAGATAAATATGAGACAATATGCTAATAACAACGGTATAAATGAACTAAAATTTTAACGATGGCAAAATTATGCACTATCTAAAAAGTATAGAGACAAATATGGACCCTCTCCCCAAATACTTATCTATATATGTTTCAGCTGATTCGAGAAAGAGTATATTTGTACATCATGTGTCAATTCTTGACTCTTCTAGTAAAGTCGTGATCAATCTCTATTCTCTAGAGTTATTTACTACACAGGTTTAATATATGTTATTATTTTTATTTTTTTTATGCAATATATTTAAAATTTAAGTCAATATGTTTTATATGTTTTTTAAATACTCAAATTTTGTTAATTTGTGATTTATAATATTAATAATTGTAATTTTTAACAATATATATTATCCTTTTATGTACACAGATGAAATATTAAGAGGCAACCAATTTTATCTTTTAAAATTATTTTACGATTTATAATATATTTTACGTAATTTTTAAATATATAATAAACAGGAAAAATAACCGTGAATTTCTGTGAAGCCTACTCCACCTATTGGAAAGAGCAGAGATATAGTACCCTTTTTGTCCATAAAAAAAAATACACACAATACATTAACGTTTACTACAAAATAATTCAAACATTTAATTATAAAGTAAAAAAGTCTTGAATGACAAATTACCCTTTAAATCAAAGTCAATTTCAAGGAGCTTACATATTATCTAATACACGTGTAATTCAAGCTATAATTATTTTTTTATTTAGTATTTAAAATTCGTATTAAAATTCTAACTATATTTAGAAGATAAAGTAAAAAAGTCTTAAATGACAAATTAACTTTTAAATCAAAGTCAATTTCAAGGAGCTTACATATTATCTAATACACGTGTAATTCAAGCTATAATTATCTTTATATTTAGTATTTAGAATTCCTATTAAAACTCTCATTATATTTAGATTGTATATTACATCTTACAAAACTTATTTGAAAAGTAAAATACGCTTTTAATTAAATTTTCTATATATCCAAAATTTAAATCTAAAATCTCTAATTAAAATTAAAATATATGGACACAACGACTTAAAAAAGAAAGAAAATTGAAGAGGAAAAAACTCCAACACGTACACGTTTAGTGGGTATAAATAGAAGACACGGTTTTTGACTTTTACTTTTAATTAATTATAGTTTGAAGTAAAAGGTTTGTGTAATCCTTTAAATACTCACCATAAATAACAACCCTATTTTTGTCCATTTCATTCATTTTAACAACAATAACCACCTCATTATCTCAAAAACAACAAAACCAAAACCAAAACCAAAAAAAAGAAAAAAAAATGGCTCTCAAGGCAATTCCAATTTCTCAAGTTGTTCCACACATTGATGAAATTCATGTTGAAAATGTCTCATTTCCTTCAATTTACAATAATAATTCTACATCTCTTTCCCATGGTAAGTAATCACCCTTTGTATCTCAAGTTCAATTAAATTTGAGTTTGTATCGAGAAATTATAAAATGTCTCTATAGTTAGAATAACTAAACATGATATATCTGATTAGTTTGTGACAGATGATTTTTAGTATAGAATCTGATTAAATTTGAATTTGCGCTTTCACCTTCAATTTACAATAATAATTCTACATCTCTTTCCCATGGTAAGTAATCACCCTTGTATTTCAGGTTCGATGAAATTTGAGTTTGTATCCAGAAATTATAAAATGTCTCTATAGTTAGAATGATTAAAACATGATATATCTGATTAATTATGACAGATGATTTTTTAATATTGAATCTGATTAAATTTGAATTCGCGCTTCGCAGATGAAGATGAGGATGATGATGTTGGGAAGATGAATAATAACAATAATAAGTTTGTAGTAATGGGACATAGAGGAAGTGGGACAAATATGTTGCAATATTCTTCATGTCATGAAAATATAATAAAAGAGAATACTTTGCGTTCCTTCAATGAAGCTACTAAATTCAACCTTCAATTTATCGAATTTGATGTTCAGGTTAGACGCTCTTCTTATTTACTTCCTTTCGAATCATTTTATTTGTCATATTTTTTTTTAAGTTGTAAGTCACTTTAAAATATATTAGAATTTTTTTTGACTATGGTAATTAATTAAATATAAATATATATATATATATATATTGTGTGGACAATTAAAAATAGTGGCCTTGTTTTACTGTCAACCTCTAGAAATGACATGTGACACTGTGAATACGTGGCAGGTGGTGTCTAATTTTGTGACTATTGTCAATTTATCATCAAATCAACTTTTATATGTAAATTATTGACGCCTTGTACTATGATAGCATCATTCATTTTTGACCAAAAAGGGAAGTATAGTTTGAGCGAAGTATAGAAATAAATAGTGATAGAAATAAATTTTTATATTTTATTTAGTAAGTTAGTTTCTATATATGATGGAATAAGTTATGTCAGAATAGTTAGCTTCAGACTAACTTATTATAGAATAACTTGTTATCAATCAATCGATCCCTAAATGTTTGAATAGAGAGGAAGAAGCTTTGATAAAACTTAAATCAAGATTATATCTTAGGAACTAATAGGTTGAGCTAGTGTCACTTGAGAAAATTATCACTTGAGAAATCCTATTACATTACATTATTATAGACCGGAAATTGTATAAACTCGCGAATTATATAATCTCGCAAATTATAGACAACTTAAATTATAGGTACAACCTGTAAATATGTAAAATTATAACTATGAAGGATAATTAAATTTTATTATAGTGACTATTTGTGAAAATCTTCGTTACACAACTGGTCAAAATAAGCCACTTAATAAAATAAGTGGGTTATATACCATCACAATGTGAGTATATTCAACATTTTTTTCTCTTAGTTTTATTGAGTGTTATAATAAATATGAACATACTTCCTCCGTTTAAAAAAGAATGACCTCTTTTCTTTTTTATTCTGTTTAAAAAAGAATGATCTCTTTTTTTTTTATAACATTTTAATTTCAGCTTTTCACGTGATATGTACAAGATTAAAGGCTAATTTTATACATTTGACGTAACTTTATTTTAGGATTACAAGATTCAAGAATTTCTTTATTTTCTTAAAATCATTCTTCGTGAAACAGAGAAATAATAAAACCTATAATGATAATGTTTGTACATACTTCATGACTTGCTTAAGTGTTAAAATTCTATGAGTTTTAAAAAAAATATTCTTTTCATATTGAATATTTTTTTTTAATCTATGAATATTTGAATTCAATTAAGGCACTGATTATTTGTTTGTCTTTTCAATTCCCCCCCCCCCCCCTCCTTCCATGCTTCTTGGTAGGTTTGCTTGCAAAATATAAATGGCAAGCAAAAAATACCATAGATGAAACTTTGTATCAAAATCTTTTTGTAGGTAACACGCGATGGCTATCCAATAATTTTCCACGATATCTTCATTTTTACACAACAAGAGGTTCGTTACAATAAAACACATTATCACTACGCTCGAATACGATCATGTCCTAACTCTCGATATTGATTTTGCGATGATTTTTCAGGGTAAGTTGATTGAGAAAAGAGTTACGGACCTCACTTTGGAGGAGTTCCTTTCATATGGACCTCAGAATGGCTCAACAAATGTAACGTATTCTTCGCCCTTCATACGATGATGTAAATGGTTTCAAATTCACGAACTTATACTGATATGTTGTTGTTGTTGTTGTAAATAGGTGGAAAAACCATTATTCAGGAAAACGAAAGATGGAAGGATCTTCGAATGGAAGGTCGAAGAGGATGATCGGTTATGTACATTGCAATATGTGTTTGAGAATGTGAGTCAGTCTGTAGGGTTCAACATTGAGTTTAAATTTGATGACAAGAGAAATTATAAAGACGAAGAACTTGTTCGCGTTATTCAAGCAGCTTTACAGGTAAACGCACTACTGCATCAAAAATGATCTTTAGCAGCAATTAATTAACGACAATTAGCAGTCTTTGTATATGTTCCTAAAGCCTTTAGTGACATTAGATCTAATGACACTTAACTAATAATGCCTGAAAAGACTTTAGCACTCTTTATTAATATGTCTATTTATTGCCACTAAAAGTTGTTTTTGTTGTAGTGACGGAAACTGAAAGTTGTTAGTACTAACATTATTGTTGTAACATACTATGATTCAGGTAGTGTTGAGGTACGCCAAAGGTAAGCGTATCATGTTCTCGAGCTTTCAACCAGACGCGGCTCAATTGATCAGGAAGGAGCAAACTGCCTATCCGGTGAGTAAAGTTGAGCTCGTTCGATTCAATCTTTAAGGTTTTTAGCATTTAACGTATTATATTGATTTTCTAAGAATTATAACTTCAGACCTATATATGAACTCTGCATCGAAATTATTGAATTCAAATGAAATCAAGGTGCTATATACGGCTGCATCCGCTCTCTATATATGACCGTCTAGGATCATGAGATTCGTGAACGTGTTACTGAAACTCCATAACTACAACGAACAATCTCCTAAACGATAGCTTTAACTGCCCGCCACCATACGAGTAAACATAGTTTTACTTTTTCTAATAAACACTTCATTTGAGCATTTCTTGAAATGTGTCATCTATATAATCATGATCCAGGTTTTCTTCCTAACGAACGGAGGCTCTGAAATTTATCCGGACATCAGAAGGAACTCGTTAGAAGAGGCGATTAAGTTGTGCTTAGAAGGCGGTCTACAAGGCATCGTCTCGGAGGTGAAAGCCATTTTAAGAAATCCAAAAATGATAGCAAATATCAAAGAATCCAATCTTTCCCTTATGACTTATGGCCAACTAAAGTAAGTTTTAATCGAGGAAAAGTTGTATACAATGTATAGTGTATGTATATACTAGTTTAGTTTTTCGTCTATCGTGCTTACTGTACTAAAAGAAATACGTTATACGCCCTTTCAGCAACGAGAAAGAAGTGGTTTACTTGCTATACATGATGGGTGTTGATGGAGTGATAGTAGATTTCGTTGAAGAGATTACTTCAGTTGTTGCCCAGTTTTCGAACCAAGTTCATCATGACAGAAAAGAACACTTGTTATTGTTGGAAAAGAGGTTGTTATCGGAGCAACGAATAACTCTCTGCTCGGAGGATGAGATCTCATATTTTCGAAGGCTCGTGCCAGAGTTGATACATTTGTGAATCTGTATAATCGCAAATGTACGATTAGATGGTCTTGTTTTGGTATGTATATTGGTATATTGTATGTTTTCATGTATAAGGTTTGTGTAATAAAATTTTGTATAGGGACATGTATCATGGAAAGTAGTTAACAATCAAATGTATAGAGGGGATTAATGAGGTCTGTATAAGTTTTTAGATATAAGCAATCTACATTTACATAAATATGTATTTACAAAGAGTGCAAAATAGATGGATATTTCACAATTCAAATGAATAACGTCCTAAGAAAAGGTGTTAGGTATAAATAAAGGTCATCATTTTTTTCAGTCATAGATGGGGCTACGGGTGGTAAAATCAAACTCAAGTTAATCTGTTAAATTCATGTAAGTTTGACAGGTTATTGATCTGTCAATTTATTAGCTCAATATATTTCAATTTCATTAAAGAATAGGTTGATATGTAACCAGGATTGACTTATTAAAATTTTTATTAAAATATTTTTTCAAAAAATTAATATGTTATATAGATCGAATAAAGAAAAAGTAATTTCATTAAGTACTAAATATATATTTCGAAAGAATAAGCAAAACAACTAAACTTGATCAAAATTGGCTTGAGTAGAGTTGTGATCCGTTTTGATCGATTGGATCATGACTACTTTATTATCTTGATCTATTATGATCCAACCCACCCAACCGTCACCCCTAGTTCGGACATACGGATAATAGAAATAAGCAAATATGTAAGGCAGGCAGAATACAAAGCACAAAGATAGACAGTGGCAATGACGGAAACTCGAAAGGGTCGCGTTTGCCGGTAACCAAAGCATCATGTCGTGAGGCTGACGGAATCCAATCCATAAACCTGGAAATGAAACGTTGTTCATTCCCTTTCGTCAAGTAGGTAAAGTAGGTATGGGTCGTAATTTAAAGATTAAGAATTTTAGATTTTAGATTTTCAATTATTGAATTAACATTCTTTAAACAAATATAATGTTTGTATCAAAGTTATTGAGTTCGACTTAATCCACATCTTGGTCTAGTGGTGTATATCCATGTATATTTATGTATCACCATTGTATATTGGTATATTTCTTATATAATTGTCATGTCCAAATGAAAAATGATTCTGATATGGCAAACTCAAATGTTAATTTTGGATCTCCAAAGTTTCATCAATGGCACCCCAATGATCATCAATCGCAGTTGCAACTTGTGTATGAAAAATTAGATAAATTTAAGAACTACGTGTAGTATTTAAATGTAAACAAACAGATTGTATAGTCATTTTCGAGTAGTTACAACTGTTTGAATATTTTCATGATGGAGGCAACTTCCATACTTGATGATCAGAACACGTAACCAATATTAAATGATGATTTTGCTAATACAATAGTAATAAGAATACAGTAACATCACGTTTGATGATTCTAAATTTCAGTATTTTAAATTTTAAATAGACTTTGAGTTTGAACTTTTGTTATTTTTATCACTCTTTTTTATTCCGCCCATGAATCAACCCTATCCAAATTGCTCAAATCCCATGATTCACCGAGCTAATTCGATCCATTCTAAAATTATCTTTTTTTAATGAACTTCGAAAATATTAGTCCAATCGTGTTAAATGCCTAGCTCTTGTTTACTCTAGATTTTAAAATAACTTTTGATCTCAAGTCCCATGATTCACCCAGCTAATTTGGTCCATTCTAAAAATATCTTTTTTTCAATGAACTTCGAAAATATTAGTCCAATCCTATTAAATGCCTAGCTCTTTTTACTCTAAATTTTAAAACAACTTTTGATATAAAAAAAAAAAAAAAAAAAAAAGGTGATGGTCCAAACTATGAGAAGAAGCCTCATGTCACTTTTAGGGTTTTGGACTTGTTAGCAAACTGGTCTGTTGATATAATCATGCAAGAGGGATGAGCCCTGCTCTGTGAAGTCAGTAAAGGTTATAAACCAGACTCTTCTCTTCTTGCAAAGTCAACCTCTTTTAAAGAGGGACACACCTGATGCCCACAAATATCTTTGTAGACGCCTCTCTTCTATTTGCAAAGTCAACCTCTTTTAAAGAGGGACACACCTGATGCCCACAAATATCTTTGTAGACGCCTCACTTCTATTAAGAAGGGTCACCACAGATGCCCAGTATTAGTGCTTGATCCATAATATACCCATTAGAAACTTTAAAGTCTACTTTTATTAGTTTGTCCGCATCACCTTAATGCCCTCACTTGAGTTACAAGCTCGCGTTGCCAAGCTCGGCACACTTGTTATTAAGTTGAGAGGTTATAAAGTTGCCTTGTTTGGGCTTTATAGTCGATGTGGGACAATGGATTATGAAGGGGTATTTAGATTTCTTTCATGTTCTCATCAACTTTTCCGTTTTACTAAATATATCATTTTCGTTGCGTATATAGTATTTTCGCATGTGTTTAGTAATAGACTTTGTACGTATTATAAAAACAAACTTTTATATCATAATGATATTATGTGAGGGTTTAGTAAGAGGCAAATCTGGAACTTCTAGAATGTGAAAATCATTGATAAAAGAAAAAGGAAAACATGTATAAGTGGGGATTGATCCCTAGTTTTCAAAGTAACTCAACAATCGACCAATTGCACCATTATTTAGCTTTATATTATAAACAAGTGTCAACATAAAATATTATACCAAATTTAAAAAAATATATACATAAAATATCTTTTTCAGATTCTAGTTGTGGAATTGCATATTTCAAAAATAACTTTTATACCTCACAATGGTACGTGGGGGTTAGTTAGAGGCAAATCTAAGATTTTTAGAATATGAGTGCATCACTGAAAAAGAGAAGGAGAACATGTATTAATTGAGAATCAATCCCTAGTTTTCTAAGTAAGTAACTCAACATCCAACAAATTGCACCATTATTTAGCCTTACTATAAGTGAGTGTCAACAAAAAATATTATACCAAATTTAGAAAATATACACATAAAATATCTAATTTTACGGGGAAAAAATCATAGGTTCACGTGTTAGCTGGTAAATTTGTCTACATATGCATTTTTAAATGATGGTCTTCTGAAAATATTACTACCTGAAATGGGTTGTCTAATAAATATTTTAATAGAGTAAACCAATTAAATTATTTCATTTGTTGTTTTATTTGAGCTGATAACCAATTAGCAAAAAACAAATCCTACTTTTAATTAGTGGTGTTGCACATACCTTTATCTTCCTCATGCCCTATTTCTGAAATTATTATATTTTATTTGTAAATTATTTCATCATTTATATTTTATTGATTAAGTTTTGATATGAGATTCTATGTAGGTCAACTTCAAAAAGTAATATCTCTCGACACATAATGAATCAGATGATTAATGAACTATCAAATTAAAGGTAAATGAGTCATTTTCAATTCCAACGCTATTAAGTTTCCCTCATTTCAAGTTTCATTTCAAGTTTGAAGTAAAAGATCATGATTGACACAACATCATTTTCTGAGTCAATGGCCTACAAATGACTTCTATAGGTCGTAGAAGTTTCTATGATCCGTATTGTTCACTCGTAGAAAAAGTATCGAGAGTTAAAACTTTGGGTTTAATTCTTACATACCAATTCACAATTTATAGAAACTTCTACATGTCATATTTTGGCCCGTAGAATGAAGTTTTGAGCCTTAGAATTTCAATATGAATTCCACGGGTGAGATCTACCGCCCGTAGATAAAATCATGAACCATAGATGGCCCCGTGAAAGGTTCTTTACATCTTTTTCTTTCCCAAACCCTTCTAAGTTTATACCCTCGATATTCTTATACCTAAATAAAATTCTAAACGGTATTAATCGATCATATTACACTCATTAATGCTTCAAAGTTTCAAAACAAGGATCCGAGAGGAGAAATTAGGATTTTCAAGTGTTCTTTCAGTTTCGTCTAGAACTTTGTTCTTCCATGTATGTTAGGTTACTCATAGTGATGGATTAAGTTCGTCTTCACGCCCTAAAGTCATAGTGATGAACCCTAAGTGTTTATAAAAGTCAGGTGTATAAAGATTTTTACATGAGACTTCTTATGCATTAATGATTTTGGACTTGAAAAGTTAGACCAGAAGTTTATGTTTTAAATGCATATTTGGAAAGGAGTTTTTAAAGAAAGAATAAAATGGTTTCATATGTACTATTTAAAGTATAAGAATTTAAGATTTTATCTTTTAAATTACTAAATTAACGTTCTTAAAACAAATATAATGTTTGTATCAAGGACATTTTGGTTCGACTTAATCCACGTCTTGGTCTAGTGGTGTATGTCCTATGTATATCTATGTATCACCATTGTATATTGGTATATTTCACATGTGTCACTTGTGTATCTCTCATAGGATTTTCATGTCCAGATGAAAATGATTCTGATATGAAAAACTCAAATTAAATTTCATCAATGACAGACTTATTCGAATTTCACCCCAATGATCACTATTCTTAGTTGTGACTTGTGTGTTAAAAAAAAATAAAAAAATAAAGAAATACGTAGAGTATTTAAATGTACAAAAAAAGATATTATCCGTTTGAGAAATACCGTGCAACTATTTTCGAGTAGCTACAAATGTTTGAATATTTTCATGTTTGTACTTTTATTTTTTAGCCAATGAGTTGGCCCTACCCATATTGAAAAAGCCCCACATATAATCTACTTTTTCAGACTGGGCTAAAAAATCTCTTTCCTTTAATGAACTTCAGAAATCTTAATTCAACCCTATTAAATCACAGGTTATGCCGTGCCGAGCCGTCCCAACATGTCTAGCCCATTTTGACGGCTCTAAATTTTATATTTGAAGATTTTTTTTAAGACAAGTTTTGATTCAAAAAAGTGATGGTCCAAACTATGAGAAGCCTCATGACATTTTAGGGGGTTTTGGACTTGTTAGCAATGCTCTTTGAAGTCAGCAAGAGGTTATATTAAACCAAACTCTCCTTCTTGCAAAGTCAACCTCTTGTAGGAATAAGGTTTATCTATACTTTCATATTTTACTTGTGGAATTATGTATTTCAAAAGCAACTTATATACCTCGCAATGATATGTGAGGATTTAGTTAGAGACAGATTTAGAATTTCTAGAATATAAGTGCATCACTTAAAAAGAAAAAGAAAATGTGTGATCCATAGTTTTCTAAGTTAGCATCTAATCAAATGCTTAAAATATTTCATCTATTGTTTTATTTGAGTTGATAATCAATTGGAAATTTTTTTCTACATAATTTATAATCTAATTTATTTAATTAAATTTACTA